AGTTTTAATAGTTTGCGCTCAGTGCATGACTATTTTCTCTGACTGTACAAGCAATATCTTCCTCCTAAATTGTAACGGTATTTTTTGAGGTTAAAAATAAATCTTCTTGTAGTTTTATCAATAAATCAAGTGAATTAAGTTCTTAACTCGATCCCCTTGTGATCAAACACTTCTTAGGAAGTAACCTAACTCGACACTTTACCACTCTCAATTGGATTAATTATCTCGGATTCCCCCCCTGTTCTATGGCAACACTGTCTAGCGCAAAAGGATACAAACGTTTTGTCGGAAAGCTGAAGGAAGGAAAGTTATTCGTGGAATGCGACCGAGTTACGTTATCACTTAACTGCTTGTAAATCGTAATTGGCGTAGACGGGAGTCCTTCGGCGTTCTCCACAAAGTGGATGCCTAGATCAATTAGGAATTATTTTTAAAGAAATATCTGGATTATAAATTTATTTACTGGGATTTGTTTGTATATTATTAGTGTTGCAACGGTTACGGTTACGGTTACGGTTAATTCACGGATTTCGATATTATACGGTTAACCGTAACCGTATACGGCATTTACGGTTTTTCATGCTACTTTGTGAATGCATGTAAAAAGAAGATTGAAGAGTATTTAAAGTTACCAAATTTACCACATACATCAAATCCGTTTACATTCTGGAAAACGTATTTATCATACAAACCATTGACAGTGAATTCAGAGAGGTTGTTTTCGACTGCAGGTCTTGTGCAAACACCAAATAGGAACAGGCTGATTCCGCAGAATTTGCAGATGTTATGTTTTTTAAATAAAAATTTGACTCGTAAATTTTGAATATTAACTTTTAATTTTTTTATTTTTACGGTTACGGTTACGGTTACGGTTAATTCACGGATTTCGATATTATACGGTTAACCGTAACCGTATACGGCATTTACGGTTTTTCATGCTACTTTGTGAATGCATGTAAAAAGAAGATTGAAGAGTATTTAAAGTTACCAAATTTACCACATACATCAAATCCGTTTACATTCTGGAAAACGTATTTATCATACAAACCATTGACAGTGAATTCAGAGAGGTTGTTTTCGACTGCAGGTCTTGTGCAAACACCAAATAGGAACAGGCTGATTCCGCAGAATTTGCAGATGTTATGTTTTTTAAATAAAAATTTGACTCGTAAATTTTGAATATTAACTTTTAATTTTTTTATTTTTTTAAATATATTATTCAGGTACCTACTTAGGTTTAACTTTACTGTTTTTAGGTTTAAAATGTTACTCATTTCCTTTTGTTTTATAGTTTCATTAGAAATTCTGTTTTGTTTTACATAAATTATTATTTAACATTAACTGAATGTGTTTATTAATTTCATTTTGAAGAATAAACTTTATTTTTCGTAATTCTGTAATTTTTTTTTAATAACCCTGAATTTATTCGGAACCGTAGAGCTAACCGTAACCGTAACCGTAACCGTAAAACCCGAAACCGTTGCATCACTATATATTATACAGGGTGTATCACGGTCGATGATGATAGGTTAGAAGTTTATGGAGAACGGCAAAAGATATCGAATTGAAATTTTTATACCAATTATAATATTATTTAAACTATTTTTCTAAATTATTTTAAACAAAATTCCTCTTGGGGTTTTAACGGAAACGATATCAACTTCAACTGTTATTTTAAGAACCAAAAACCGACATCACGGAGCAGATCCCGAAAAACCACTAATACATATAACGCCCGTGGAAACCTAAAGCAGAATATATATATATATATATATATATATATATATATATATATATATATATATATATATATATACATATATACAATATATGTATATCAATGTTTAATTGTTTGTACAGAAATAACGTTAAAAGAATATTTTTATAGCATTTACCGATATTATATTTAAATAAATTTTACATTTCAAAGGGTGATTAAATTTGGTGGACCCTCGTATAGGACCCAAGTTAGTTGGGACCATTAAAGATAAAAGGATCGCTGACCTGCTCGGTTTTGTCCCAAAGATTGTAAATAAAATAATAAATAATAAACCTAAACATATTTATATTTTTACGGTCGGCGGCTTATGATTCTTAAAATAGCCGTTTCGAATATGCGATGCTACCAACGACCTCTTCGGTGTATCTGAACCATGTGTATTCATATTTAAAAACGTTTATATAAATAAACCTGTGAAAATGCGCCTTAAAATCGATTTAAGAACAAGAATGTGTATAATTTTAAATCGTTGCGATTTATATGAGTAATTTTAACAACTGAAACGATAAATAATGCAGGTATACGGTAATTAATTATAATAAAATAAATTGAAAAAGTAATTAGCAATTCATTGTTGAAAACTCGTGAAGATTTGTGGCCAACAAGCTAATAAAAATACTACTTCTATCCCCGGTGTCCGCAATTAGAAATCTTATAGTTAAATATAAATAAATAAAAAGACGTCACGAATTTATGTAGTACGAGAGGTAGAGAGCAAAAGAACGTGACTTGCTTTCTTTATTGTAAATATATTATGACTGGGTGGTCGATGCCGAAGACGAAAATAATTTATCGCTTTCAATTAAATAAATCTTACTTCTGCTGAATAGGGAATGCGCTACATTAACTTTAATATTCAATATTTAATTTACTTATCGGACATGCGAATCGAAACCAAGATACATTGTATTAATTTTTCATGAGGGGTGAATAAGACCTACACCTTTTTCTTAAGATATTCTTGCAAAATGTATTTATTGCTTTTTTAAAGCAGCCTAGGTTTACCAAAAGTATGTGTTGTGGGTCTTTTTTAGGTTCTTATTTTAACTATTTTAACTAGTTTCCTCTTTAAACAATAAAAAGCAAAGAATTTATAAAGCAAATAATGTATTATTTCTTGAGAAAGGATTCGTAGATTTTTAAAACTATACCTTGCGATTTACTGGACCCCTAAGTTTAAACATTAATTTTAACAGGTAATAGAGCATCAAAAATAAGACTTTCATTAAAAAAATTGCTCAAAAATGTTTTTTAACAGAGATACGCAAGTAAAAAAAAATGGGTTGTTATAGCAACAAAATAAACAAGGCATCTAGAAGCTTTAAAATCAGGGATGCCAGAATCTGTCAAAAAAATCCGCTACATTTTGTTTGAATCCACCTTAATCATTAAAATGACACATTGATACAATGCAAATTGTCAATTTGACGTTATTCATTATTGTTAATTGTGTCATTTTTGTAATAAAGGTGCATGTAAACAAAAACTGGCGGATTTTTTTGACAGATTCTGACATCCCTGTTTAAAATTACCATTCATTTTTTGACATATTGTGTCACAAGTCCACTTAGGTTTTTACATTTGCCGCAGTATTTTGGATTCCCAAACCTTTAAGTTTAAATAATTCAAAAACGAATTCCTAAATCAATAATTTTACCGGAGTAGTTTTTTCACTAAGTTGAAAAGAACCAAAAAACTGCGCCACAAACGTTTTTTTAAATAATTTTTTACATCAATACATTGCATTAGGGGACATGCATTAATTAGGTGAGACAAAAATGGGGGGGTCCAGCAAAATCTCACCAAATCTCATATAAAACCTCACGTCAACTTTTGAGTCCTCTTTGGTACATTCTGTGCAAAATCTGATGAAAATTTATTAAGTGGTTTAGAAGTTATGATTTTTTTCTAAACTTTAAAGGCCTACCTATCTTATTTTTGATCTTTTAAAATTAATGACGTTTAAACTGGACAATTATGTTTTGTACTATGATCCTTGAGTTAAAATAAGCAGGATTTTCGGTCAATTATTAACAAAAGGCTTGCCCAATATGAAAAGTGATAATATTACAATTGTTTTTCGACATTTTTAGTACCGTAAATACGGGTGACTTTGCACCCCGCGGGTGACTTTAACCCATTTATGAAAAATCTTTTCGCGCTCGATAAAATTAACATTTATAATTTGTTGGTCTAAACCTGTCAATTGAGCGATTCTATTGAGCTTATATTACAGGAAAATCAGTGTTTTAAAGAAAGAAATGGGATTTATTACACTTCAAAATTGTATATATCGTATCAGTGCAAAACTCTTAGAAATACACGCGTTAAAATTTCTATATTATGCGCAATCCATTGGAATGATGATCCTTGGTTAACTACAGGTCGATTTTTTATTTTTTTTACTGGTAATCCCTTGCAATAGATATATGTCGCTGCTAACACGTGTCTAATAAAAATAAAATATAATATTACATTTATTTTATACTGAAAAAACACTGTGAGACAAAGTAACCCGCAACCAGGGGGTAACTTTGCACACCCAGTTTTTAATGTTTATTTTTGAAACTCAGCCCTATGTAATATTATAACATAGTTATTATGAAAGAGCAACTCAAGACTCAAATTTTGGTATACAAAATTTAATGATTATGATTGTTAAAACCACAACAATTTTAAGCTGAAGTTTGAAAGTGAGCCAAAGCCACCCGTGTTTACGGTACTTTAAATTATGCCAAATATTTAAAGTAGGTACCTACCTCTATAAGATATAAATAAATTGTAGGTCCCAATGGAAAAAATGTCATTTTTAAGTGGGTCATGTTTAAAGTTTACGAACAAATTGAAATGTTCGTTGTATTTAGAGAATTGTATTGTGTTAAATTTGGGTACGTTTTTGGCATTGTAAGTCAGTCACGAACGGGAACAAAACCGGATGAATGAAATTGAAAACGAAACCGTTTCGATCGGTCGGGTCGGATAGTAAACAACATTTTAGGAATTCCGCGGGCATCTATCGTCGCATCTAACGCTCTCTCTGTGCTCATCGCAGCACGCCGCGGTGTCCAGATGGATGCACAAGCAGCATCAAGCAAGCGGCGGCGGTGGTCAGAAGGAGGCGACCAAGGAGAGAGGAGTGAGGAGAAGGAGTGTGGCGGACAACACTGCTCGAAAATGGCTTGTGCTCTGTGCTCTGCGACACTAGACAACTTTTCCTGATCTAAGCCAGGTCAGTGTCTCCGTCTGGCACACAGTCTACATCCACACTACACGCTCTCACAAGCCGAGGACGACAACGGCGGTCGTTTCTATCGACTTTTCCGTCGTTTATTATCACAAGAGGGAAATCACACAAATTTCGACCCCTTTTCAGACCTTTTACCAACAAGCCGAACATCAAAGACAGCGTTTTAATGCCGAACATTTGCTTAACACATTTTATTTTAGAGGTAAATAATTCTAACACAGGAATGCAAATGTTTTTATTTAGAATTCTGTTAAAAAACGCATTAATTAATATGAAAATATTCGCAAATAAGTTAAAATATGGATGGCATAATAACTTTGCTTTTTTTTAATAAACCTTTATAAAGAATACTTGGTTACAACATTTGTGATGTGTGATTTTGAAAATAAATAAATAAACATTGATAATTAATAAAACTATATTTTTGCATCATTTATGAAACTTTTTTATACATTATAAGATACCATCTAAAAAAAATATTTATTTTAAATTTTTTTCTTTAAATAAACAGTTCCAATAATAATGTTAGTTTTTCTTGTATTAACATAATTTAATATACTATATGGGTGATTCTACAAAAGTTGGTCAAATTTTGACCTCATTTTGTTTATGTACTCTCTAAAAATGAATTAGTCAAAAATGACTTATTTAATAGTTATTAGTGGCTGCTTTTTCACTTGTACCATGGTTAACCATGGAATACCATGGTATCACAAAAGTGGAGCAGTTTTTGAGATATAGTAAATTACATATTAAATGAAAAATTGAATATATCTCAAAAACTATTCTACTTGTTTAACTTTTGACATTTTCGGATTCAGGGGAGAATTTTACATAATAATTGGCTGTTAAATTTTGGGATACCATAGTATCCCAGTGAAAAAGCAGCCACTAATAACTATGAAATTATTAATTTTTGACTAATTTATTTTTAGAGAGTAGTTTTCGGAGAAAATTAAACAGTATTTTGTTATGAGAACATAGATAATATAATAAATATACTGTTCCAGACCTGGCCAGTCACTTTTTCAAACAGTATCTGAAATATCTGTGTTTTCTAAATTTGAATTCAAGGAAAGTGTGACGAGTATACCAGGGTACTAATTAAATACATAATTTTTTGAAAAATATTAGATTTATTGCAACTTCAAGCATATTATACATTAAATATCTTAAAATCAAATAATACCACAATAATACCAAACATCAGTGGCGGCTGGTGGAATTTGGGTATACCGATATCTCAATTATTAGAAAGTTTGCGAAAAAAATATAACCGAAACATCGAAATGGAACTGACGACACGGTACTGATGAATGGGATACAAATTTGAGATTATAATTCGGAATTAAGTATTTTATTGATATTTTTTATTAGTGGATGCTACTTATCAACAAATCACATATAGCTCTAAATAAATTACAATGAAATATATATACGTAAGAAAATAACTAGGTACTCATCACAGTACTGAAATTTTGACTGGAACTATACGTGCATTCACCACAACTTCGCCGCTTGCATTGTTTTCAAGATGACTGTCGTGCAAAGGGCGGGCTGTGTAGGTAATTTTTTACCAACACTTGAGTTAAAACGAGGGCTTGACGTTTATACTTCAATATTTCGCAGGAATTTTGAGTTTTAACATTGGACACAGAACTGACAGGTAAAAGTGAGTACAAAGATTATCAATTTTTTTAAAAATTGCTATTATTCGAATCTATGATAAAATATGAAAAATACATTATTTAATGTTTTATAGTTTGTAGTGAAATTGAAAAATTTAAGATAAATTAAATATATTTTAAAATAAAATCAATCAAATATTTGATTCAGGAGTTGTGACCCGCCAAGGTACTGATGTTTTGAATATTTATTATGTTTTTCTACAAACGTGCTTTTAAAAAAATACATTAAAATTGGGTGGACAAGTTAAAAAAACCTGGATCTTTTGTAATATACTAAAATATTTATAAAAAATATTAAAATACCTACTCTATTGACTGATGACAAGTTGTCCAACTTTTGTAGAATCACCCATATATTAATAATTATTTTAACCGCATAGTTATTTTCTGAAATGGGGGGTGCGCCTATTCTATATTTTTAATTTTTACTATTTTCCACTTGTTTGTTGATTGTTTTGGGCATTTTGGTAATAATGCCCCAGTGACCGATGATCCGCTTATAGTCGCACCTTCAACCAGTGGGCAAAATTCTATGTTGGTATACCTACATATTTTTACAAATACGAGTTTAAGTTGAAATGAGATTTAATGCTCTTACATGGGTCACATAAAATTTTAAAGTTGTAATTTTTAATATTCTGAACGAAATATTTTTACAAAATTGATAAATTACCAGATAAATTTGTAATAAAATGCTAACTAAAAAAACAATTATCAGTCACATCCATAGGTGTCATTTCTATAAAAACAGACTGTTGTGTGGTGTGATAATGAAGTGTGTATAGCAGTGAAAAAGGCCGTGTAAAAGAGTTAAACGAGCGTGAAAGCGATCGCATTCCAATTAGTGCGTCTGCGGGACTATCTTCTTATATAATTGATTACCGAGTCTCGTTACCACGGTATTTATCTATCAGTAATCCTCGCAAACTTGCCTCTTGCTCTCTGTCCAATCAACGTTTTATCTTCTGAACGCTCGTTTTTAAGTGTTACGGAGAATTGCAATTATTTTATGGATTTTTAGCATATACCTGGAGTGGACAAAAAGTTCGTGTACTGTTGTGTCTTGAGTAAAATACCTTCTCAATCAACGGTTGTATTGTATTGTTTGTTGTATTAGATCTATAAAGACTCCAGCTATATATTGGGTATTTTTGTTTTTAATGACATTTAGTTTTGATGAAATTGTATGTTTTAATATTATTTTAAAACATAGGAAGTAAGTCAATCTTTTGGATTTTATTAATGTAAAACCAATAGAAGACCTAATAATTATTTAACAAAATTAGTATGTAAATTTTAAAGTCTCTATTCTATTGCTATATTGCGTTAAATATTTTGTTGCTTATGCTAATTTCATTAATAATAAATTATTTGTTTGCTACTAAGTAAATATATGTGATGTTAAATAATTAATATAAACATACTTCTAATATAAATATTGTGTATGCACTGCAAACAATTTTAATATTACATATTACTTATTTAATTAATAAAATTTACTGATTATGTACTTAACAGTTAATTTATTTATTGTGATAAAAAATACGCTGTTACATTTCAAAACAAATAATTAGAAATATTTTAATATTAGATGTAATAAATTTGACCGACACCATTGCAATTTTAATAAATCCAAATTGAAATATATGCACATATCTTATTTATTTTTACTCCTTGAGAAACTAAAAAAAGACTGGAAATAAATAAATCTTGACATTTTTTTTCGTTTGTCGTCCAAAATAAATTCGGATTATAAATGCAGAGCATTCATATAAATGCATGCATTTTGAAAAACAGTTATATTTCGATTAAAGCATTCCTTTAGCCTGAGCCAAAACATGATGTTAATGCCAAGACACTAAATCGTCTGCCATGCTTAACAATAAATAAATTTAAGAATATCATAAACATATATACAAAATTATTCTGCAAACATGTAATTACATTTAATTGCACATATTTTAGGAAAGGATTTTCTCTCCTCGGTTGAATTTTTGAGATAAGAATTTAAAACAAATAGTATATAATAAACTTTTATAATACAACCTTGAAAATGAAATTTTTTTTTAACTCGTCATATAATCTTTATTTCTAAATAGATTTTGATACATTTAATATTGGTTAATATACAGGGAAAATTACAAGAGCATACCCCTTTGTATGTCTTAATTGTAACTTAAGTACACGTACTTAGCAATACCGAATACAATATTCTTTAAGAAACAAGGATAATGTGGCTAATATAAAATGGTAAAATTTCGGCTTAATTTATTTGAGAAAAATGTTAATCAGATACAAGATGCAACAAAATACATACCTTAAATAATAATAAATGCAATCAAATTTTAAATTCCATCGGGGATTGTTTGAAACCAATATTAAATTTCGCGTACAAATATAAAATATCGCAAATAGCAATTTAAAATACAATACGCGCTCATCATTATTCACAATAGAGAATAAGATTGTCGGGGCAGATTATGGCAATATATTATCGATGACCAATTATTTAACTGTTATAATTTTGCTTTCCGATTTACATGTATTTATTATTCTTTTAAAAAAAGTAACAATATTTAAATGTCATCTTGCGGCAACATTGTATTAGAGCGAGATTCTTGGCTGACACTTTACACGTTTCGTTTTTATCTTGACACGATCATAGTCAACCGGTAACAGGTGATTTCGACTCATTCAGAATTTGTTTACACGGTGGCGATCGTTTTTTAGTAGGCGCTGCTAGCTACCGCACTCTCGATTACCTTATCTACCGACTTGGATCTTGGATACGTTAGAGCACCACCGAGATTCCGATTTGTATCAGTTTGACATCACAACTAATTGGTAATTACTAAGAACATGTGATAGTTATAATCCAATTACTAAGTAATGACTTTATATTTTTATAATTAGGAATGGCAAAAAAATGTTTTTCCAATTCCATTGTCAAAAATTCGGTTTTTTTGTTGATATTTAAGTGTCAAAAGTAGGTCAAAAGTTTTTTTCCACTTTTATTTTTGCACTGCAATTAAATCAGTACATAATACTAGTAGGTAGTACCACAATCCACACAACAAGGTCTGTTCTATCTCGTACTAAAATTACAAAAATTCACTGCAACACTGCACAGTTTAACGGCGGCCATTTTTATTGTTTACAATTTTTGTGCTTTGGGTTTGTGCTCTGTTTATAGAGATTAATAATCGTTTTAAACGTTGTGTTTCTCATAGTAAGCCTTAAAAGAGTCCTTAAAGTGCTAAGAACAACCATTTTACTCCTTTATTGTAAAAAATAAACTTTATTCTATCAGGTCTGTCATAAAACTGTCAAATGTCAATTTTAAGGTTAAATTATAACACACAAATTAACCTTCAAATTGTCATTTGACAGCCCTAATAGAATGGTAGAAGGTATATTTATTATAAAAGAGGAGTAAAATGGTTGTCCTTAGCACTTAAAGGCCTTATTTGAGGCTTACAAGTGCCTCTGTAA